TTAATATTTTCCCGCCGGGTTACTGTCGCACTCGTTTCAACTGTGTTTGTTTACGTTTTTTTTTTGTTTCCGCTTTCAGATATTTGTTTACAAACATCGCATACACTTCGACTCAACCTTTTTTTTCTCTGACAAGGATAATAGACAGAAAAAACAGAAATAAAAAGGGATTAAAATATGGGTTTCAAAAAGAGGAAAATATAGAGAGAGGTACAGACTGAATAGCCTTAAAAGATCACAGAAAAACAGTTTTGGATTTAGATGGCTTGGCAGGCTTTCTGTAGCCATTCGTAGATTTCTGTCTTGCCAACGCGCCGGAGGACTGGTCCGACTTCTCGGAGGACCCGGGCGTGGTACTCATTGAGCCAGGTGATCTCAGAAGGGGTAAGGAGGGATTTGTCCACGATCGAAGTTTGGATTGGCACAAGAGTGAGGGACTGAATAAGCGATTTCTTTCTAAATTTCAAAAAAGATATAGAGGTACCTGGAATCCTAAAAAGTTGGGAGCTCCCGATAAAACATTCACTGAGACCGTCTCATAACAATTCTCAATACGAATTCCATAATGCTCCTTCCTATAGAATCCTGGCTCAATAGTTAGCACTTGACTGGCGTGTAGCTCTCCACCACTTGGAACACTGCGATGGCCTATTCCGACTGAAAATCGAAAAATTCGTATCAGCAAATAAACTATAATTCTTACTGGGTCCCTCGTGCACATTCAAATAGTGTCCTACACCATGTCCCGTTCCATGCTCAAAATCCAATCCCATTTTCCAAAGGGAATCTCGAGTGAGCGTATCCAGACGAGCTCCCACTATACCATCTGGGAAAACGGCTCGAGCCAAATTGATGTGTCCTTTGAGAACCAATGTATTGTGAAGTATGAAATCTGGTGGTGGGTTGGAGTACCACACTGTACGAGTCACATCGGTTGTTCCATCAGTATAGTGAGCTCCCGAATCGACGAGATACAGTTGATTGTTGGAGGCAAGTCGTTTTCCATCCTCCTCGTTCGGTTTGTAATGCGGAAGCGCTGCGTGGTCTCCGACAGCCGAGATTGTGTCGAAGCTTAAACTTTTTTATCAGGGCTTCATTTCTTTTTTTTGGTCGGTCGAAAACTGGCGACCGCCGACCGAATTCTTGTATTTGAGCGTCAGAATACGAGCAGTCAGCGTCGTAAAATAAAATGCTGGGTACGCAAACACCCTCTGGCATGTCGACGCGCAAATACGAACATTTCGGTAGGCCGACTACATTTACAAACCTCAATGTAACATATTTGTCTTGTTGACTTCTCAATGTGTCTATTCTCTCAGCTAACTGAATCTCGGAGAACGTCTTTCCCTCGCCCATCTCCTTCTCCAGCCAGTGAAGAAACTCGACGAGAGCAGCGCTGTCGCGAATCTTAAATCCAATTTTCAGTTTATAAAATCCTTTTAAACCTTCTCACATGACTAGTTCTCATTCCTTCCATCTCTCTATGGTTCTTGGTGGCTTTTGCAGTTTGCACAAATGATGTATCGATCATCGAGTTAGCTTCTCCAAAGAGGCTTCCGATGGCATAATTAGTCTCCGGTGTCAGATAAACCATCCGTGGCTCTTCTGCTTCGATTTTCGCCTGAAGCCATCCGGCAAGCCACGTATAGACCTCTTCATAATGATGAATGGAGACGTTGGATTCGTGAAGATGAGCCCGAGCGACTTGATCCAATTTCTTCTCATCAATGAATAAATGGATTTCTTTCATCGCGACGAAAAGGTAGGAATAGGCAAGTGGGTTGTATGGAATATCACTTCCACGAATATTCAGAAGCCACATCACGTCGTCAAGAAGAGTGAGCACTGCAGCTGACGCCTTCTTGGTCTTCAGTTTTGTCCGAAGCTCATCCACCTTCTGTGATGTTGTCTTTCCACTTTGTGCTTCTTCCATAACAGCCACTGGCTTCTGTCCGAGACTTGGCCGATCCTCCCAAAACTCGTCGACGAGATTTCCAGGAATCGAAACAGGAACTAGTCCGGCTGCTTTCATTCTCTTGAAGGTTTTCATTCCCAGTTCATAAGTCACCAATGTTGGATCATATCCAATCACAGATCCTCGTTCCATCTCCCGAATCAACCAATCTGTGACGGATATAGAGTCGGGCAACCCCTGTTTCATCAGTTTCCAACATGATGGGTCGAGTTGCTTGCCGGCTTGAGTGAAATACCGTCCATCGGTCCATAGGAGAGCTTCTTTGTTAGTCACAACGACGTAGGCATTCGAACCACCAAATCCAGAAAGGAATTTGACACGGAAATCGTACTCGGCAAGGTATTCACTCTGGAAAAATCGAAAATTAACATGCTTGTTTTTCAAAGGTTGATTTTTTATTGCTTTATTTTGTGCAGAAAATCATGTAGAAACTTCCATGTTTTCGATGCGTTTTTCTCAATGAAGGATTTTTTTTCATTTTTCATATTTTTATGTGAATCTGCATTATTTTCTGCACATGTGCATGCACAAAATAAAGCAATAGAAATATACTAACACCATGAGCATCCGTGCTTGGTAGCAAATACGCAGTTATCGGCTTGTTGGCGGTTAGGGCGAGAACCCGTTCCGATGAGAACAGTTTTCTCAACTTCGAGACTTTTTCCACCGTCGACATGGCCCTGCCCAGCCTGCAAAACAAAAAAAATTGATTGAGTATTCGGAGAGAAAAATGTGTGAAAAACTGGCAAAGAGGCGACACTGACTGATAAAGGTAATTATTAAACGTACGAAAAACGTTGTATCGCCGAAATAATCAATCAATCGGTTTACGAGCTGTTCAAAAATCATAAACCATTTTTTTTCTTATGGAAGAAATCATTATTTGGGAGAACCTTTTTGAATGGAAAACCCTTGAACACAACCCGTCTCATACTGCCTACGTCTCTCAAAAAGTTTTATTCGGTTTTGGAGAAATAGAGTGTCCTCACAGACGTTTTTGGCTAATGAAGACTCACATTTGGATAATTTACAATTAAAAAATACCAAGAAAATAATTATAAACTACTGATGAAAAGCAAAAGTGCTCCGGTGGGCGCAAACTCATTAGCGGGAGGTTTAAATAAAATTAGCATCTATCTCATAGCGAAATCTCACAAGTGAGAAAAAATTCTGAAGATAACAACTGAAATTTTGATCCTTACCTAATTGGAACACAGCACCACATTTTGACATCAAAGACAATATTTTTACAGTAAAACATTTTTGGATGAAAATTAAACACAATTTTTGGGGGTACGACGAATTCGAACGTTTTCAAATTCGAACAGACCTAAAATCGAACAGATTCAATTCAGAACAGTCCTTTTTTCGCACACGTACCAGAACAGAACGCGGACAGAATCGAACTGTTACAAGTTCGAACTGGTAAGGAGTCGAACT